AATTAATATTATAAATAAATATTTCTAAGTGATTTTGATCAGCAGGCATTCTGAAGGAGTTTTATTACAAGGACCAACAGTCATTAGGAGTTATGTTTTCATTTGTTGAACCACCTAATTCTATTAATTTAGAGGGGGAAGAGATGAATCTATGCAAATATGCAACAAACTCATTTGACATTAGGTTCTTTGTTACCATCAGCTTGTCACAAAAACACAATTTGTTCTCTTTTCATTTGCTGAATCTGTGAAAAACACCAAAGCTAACACACATAAAACACCATTCTAGCACCAACACAGAGATTCTGTGAACTGAGAACTGGATGATGCATCTCTCTCTCAGGCCCTGTTTTGACATGACTTCCAGACGTTGCTCTTTGCAAATCATTTTTTCAGGTCTGATGCTTCATGCGCCATTTGTTCACTTTCCTATTTTTTTCAAAGTTTGAGGAACTACTTACTGATCAAGAAAGTGTGACTTCTTGGATGCAAAATACAAATAAATTTTAAGTGGTTTAAAATTGTTCTTAATTATAACGAATACTTGCTCTTTCTTAGAACTCTGTGCAGTGTTTGAAAAAGGCACACATGAGTAGATGTTACTGAAAAACTGTGAGATGTAAAGTATACTTATTTTAAATTGGAAATTGCACCTTCACAATTGGCGTTGAACTCTGTGATTCTCCCACACCTCTCAGGTTTGTGGCTTGCAAATATGTTTGAATTAGAGATGAGGTCTGGACAGTTGGGAAAACATTTCTGAGAAGAGCCTGGTTCAGGGACACCTTCCTGGTATATTGTTAGCCCCTGACATCACTCTGTCCTTCAGCACCTGGTAACACATGGTAACAGAGACACACCACTTGAACCTTGTCCTCGGCAGAATGGAGCTTTGTTTTCTCTGCGTTTCTAGACCTTTCTAGTGAGAAGAGCCACTTGAAGCCATTCTTACAAAARTAGCAAGAAGACTGCTTGTGCTCAAGAGGCAGGAAATGACAGTTTGGGGAAAAATGGACAAAGGCTTTAATTTCCCTGTCGCAGATTTGTTTGTTTATTCCAAATTTTAATCATCATTTAATAATTTACTGAATCAAAGTAAATACACAATTTATGCCCTTTCTAATATATTTAAATTAACATTCCCCCTCTTTAATTAATTTTGTAGTGACTAATCACTAGAGGGCAGCACTGACATTTCATAGAGTTTGAGCACAAAAAGAGCAAACATGAAAATCACTTCTATTGATGCCACTTTTGATACATTTCGTAGCTTAACTTTGATTAAAAAACATTCAGTTTATGTCATTTATTTATAACATAACAGTTCAAATGTAAAAAAAGCAACTTAACTTCTGTTACATGAAGTTTTTGCACCTCATTTAAACAAAGAAATCAATACAAGTATTTTTTTAACCTTAATTCCTAACATATTGTATATACTTCAGCTGCAGCTTGACACATTTCCATGTGGCTGAAACTTGAAATAGTGAAACATACACTGACTGAAACATTAATTTTACCTGTATTCCATAACTTTATTTCRGCAGTTAAAGCTGCACACAGACATCAGTCACTTTCATAGACTGTGCTGTGTATAAGAAGACAGGCCACTGAATGGAAGACATTATATTGTTGATTTCTTTATGATGTCACCTAAAAAATGTTGGAACACGCAGAATACACTCATTTCCCTTTCTTCAACTATTAGCCTTAGCCAGCTTTAAACTGAACWAAACAATTCACTGAAATCCAGATTTGTTTGTTGTACTTTGCTGTTAAATTCACATCACATAATGTCTAAAAATGGTTCCCAATTGTTATCCTATCAGATGACCTTAYGTTCAAAGAAGGTCAGGACCTATTTTTAACATAGGAAAACTAAACACATGAATTAGAAGTCTGTCACCGGCGTGAAAACACTTGTTTGCCTTCAGAGCCTATCTGACTGAGCAGCACATATCAGGGGCCATGAGCTCTGTTGTGATCTAGATATTTCCATGGGAACCAGCGGCAGAAAAAGGCGAGTGGGAGGGTCCAKGTTTAGCAGCACAGAGGGTGTGTGTGTGTGTTAGATTTATTGGTTTCCTGCTTCATTTAAACCGTCTGTGTCTCCCGAATAGCCAGAACCGCTGACTCTCCATGCACTTTTGAGAGGGTCCAACAACTTTTCCACGTTGCATTGCCACAGCTGGAACTTTCAATTTATTCCAGTTTGAAACCACTTGTGGACTATCTTCAGAGCACTYGGTAAGAAAACCCTAACAGCTTTTTGGTTTATGACGGTTTTCATCTAGTTTCAAGGGCAACAACCCATGTCTGATTTGTGATTTCACAGAGTTTCTACCAAAAGGACCCATGTGGGTGGTGGAGAAGCTGCGCGTGTCAGCAGAGAGATCTAACCTGCCTATCCGATCTGTAGAACTCAGCTTCAAAATCGGTGACATCATGCTGGGAGACAAAAGTGACAAATCCAAGAGGATTTCTCATTGTCCAAATATCATCACCCCTGATAACATCCCAGAGTTCTGCATCCCGCCAACAATTTTATCCCTGCAGGAGATGAAGAACGCAGAGCAAAAAGGAGCGGCTCGCACGGTCAGGGTGTCGCAGTGGGAGAAGGCTAAACCGGAAACAGAAGTGGCGTTTCACGAGGCTTTTAATCCCCACATCATTCAGGTAGAAAGTGTAGATGAGAGCCCCTGTGATGGTTGCAGTGATGAGGAGACAACCAACGCAGATCCCCAGAGCCAGGCAGCCTTATCCCTTCCTCACCTGGCCAAAGCCCAGACCAGCTATGGCTTTTGTACTTTGCTCGAGAGCCCCCACACCAGGAGGAAGGAGTCCATTTTCCATTCTGATCCAGGTTCCTCTCCGCTGTTGCTGCCCAGGAGTCGATCCAGTACGTACTCTAAATTCACCTACCCTGCCTCGCCCAGCTCCTCTCCGTCTTCGTTCAGCCTTAACAGCCTGACCTCCAGGCTTTCCCCGAGAAGCTACAGCATGAACTGGCAGGCCCCTTTGGACAGCGACACAACTTCCTCCACCGAATCCTCACCTTTCAGCTCTCCGCTGCTGTCCAGGTGCCCCGCCAAGTCTTCCCTTTTTAAAACGCTGAGCCACGAACTGCTGCTGTCGAGAAACATCCGAAAAGCAATGGTGTCCAGGAACAACTCCCTGTCAACAGACGAGGGCAGCTCCACAGACAACAGCCCCAATATCATGAGGAGAACATCGGAGGGGATGGCTGAAGGCCTGCCCAGCAGTTACAGCCTGGCACCGCCCAACATCTTCCCAATGGACGTAACTCTGCACAGAGAGAGAGCAATGAAGGAAAGAATGGTGCCTGTGGGAAAAGATGGCAGTCTGAGACTCTCAGCAGAGTACTGCCCAGATAACCAAAGGCTGCGGGTTCGACTGATCAGCGCCGAGGGCCTTTATCCCCTCTCTGTGGACCCCAAGATTATCAACTGCAGTGTCAGCATTTCTCTTGTTCCAGGAAAAGTCCAGAAGCAGCGCAGCACGGTAATAAGAAAGAGCCGCAATCCGATATTTAATGAAGATTTCTTCTTTGATGGTATCATGGAGGAAGAGCTCAGCCACAGATCTCTTCGCTTTAAAGTAGTGAACAAAATGTCCACCCTGAAAAGAGACTATCTTCTAGGTGACTGTGATTTGCCTCTTTCAAGCATYGTAACATTATAAACTTATCATTGGACGAATATTGTCTGTATTGAGATGTTTACATTGATTTATAAATTGTACAGCGAGATTTTGTATGAAATAAACTATGAATAACTCAACAATGTTTTTCTTGAGTCACTTACACCGATTACTCAACACACTGTACCTTTTCATTAAGTTTTCTTTATTGGAAAAAAAAAACATCACTGGTAAGAAAGCAGTGTTACTATCTTTATAAACAGATTTTATATCCAGACTTGATAATGAAGGCGCATCATCAGCCACTTCTCGTATTTCTTCTGAGCCTGTTTTTTTTTTCATGATTTTTTGAACTATTAAATATGTCACAAGAAACCAAAGACCTTGCAGGTTTGTTTTAATGCGATCATAGTTGCATAATTTTTTTTTTATTAAACAGTGAAACAGAATATTTAAAGTCATGGACACAATAAGACCTGCATTTCTCTGCATAGAAAATTATCATTAAAATTGTATTTAGAGACAAAATCTGTCTTTGTTTGAAAACTACCCAACACTGTCGACTGTCCCTGAGAATATCAACCAAATTTTTAATCATACAAATTCAAGTAAATTTAAAAGTTAAAAGAGTGTTTAGTTAACAAAAACTATAAGAATGTTTAGAAACAGCTGTTGCAACATATTCTTATCTGCATTTATCAAACTAAATAGAGCAGTACAGTGAAGACAAGAATATTCTGGTGCTTTCATAGATTAGCATCAGGCTGAAAARAGCCAGCTGTAGCCCCTAGTTAAATATTAAAAAGGTTTTCCAGGGCTGAAAAAAGATCTGAAGAAATCGGAAACATTCATACAAACATAAGCAACAAAAGCATGATAATAATCTGCTGGGTTTAAATGATCCAGCACTGTGGGAAATAGAAATTCTGCAATAAATCTAAGTTGCACTACTTACAGTAAATTTGCTTCAACATTCTATTTTTTATATATTTTTTTTCTGAAAACAGCTGTTGACAAAGCTTTGAAGAAAAAAACTAATTTGTTCAAGAAGACAAATAAATATAATTGACTTAATATTGTATCGTACCACATTGTGTCGCATCGCATCGTATTGTATTTTACCGTATTGTATCATACAGTATATCACAAATCGTGTTGTATCACATTGTATTGCATTGCATTGCATCACATCATATATCGTATTGTATCGTACTGTATCGTAGTATACCATACTATATCATACCGTATCGTACCTTATTGTATCGTATATTGTATGGTATGGTATGGTATGATCATATTGTATTGTATCGTATCGTGTCGTACTGTAACGTATCATATCATACTGCATCGTATCGTGTCACACGGTGTGCTATGGTATGGTATGGTATCGTATGGTATGGTATGGTATGGTATG